ATCATCCCTGAATACCTCAGTAAGTTGCCTCTAAGAGCGTGCACAAATTGAGTTTCAAGAGATTAATTCATGTAAACCCACTGTAATTCATGTAAATTAGGTGAACATGCTGGAGTTTGGAATCTCTTCAAGAATGAACCCTGCAAGATTTTTTCATGTCTCGCTTTATTTCCAAGCAAAGAATTTTAACAAATTTTTATAGAGGATAAACCTTATTCTGTCTTGGATTTTTGAAATTTGATATAATTAAGACAGTGGCCATAAACATTTATTTGTTATGTTTTTCTCCAGATTTCATCAAGGGTGTTGTAGATTCTGAGGATCTGCCTCTGAATATCTCCCGTGAGATGCTCCAGCAGAGTAAGATCTTGAAGGTGATCAGGAAGAACATTGTCAAGAAGTGTATGGAACTCTTCCAAGAACTCTGCGAGGACAGGGAAAACTACAAGAAGTTGTACGAACAATTCTCAAAGAACCTCAAGGTAAGACAGATGTTTGCTAGATTTGTGGGCAATAAAGATGGCTGTGTCCATGAGACAGCATTTTTTTTCTTTTTCCAAATATAATCAATACATATCCATCCTTAAATGTGAAAGGTAAACATGCACGGTTTCCAATTCTGTGCTCTGCAAATTCTTGTCTACCATACAACTATTTATGGAGGATATTTCCATAGAAGTGTTTATGTCTTTTATGATGAAACAAATAATTAAAAACTGTGAATACAGTAATTGATGTCATTTGCTCATATAATAAGTGACACAAAAGGGTCAATAGAAACATCAAGTTTATACTATAATGGCCTACTGAATTTTGATTGGTACACAAGTTAGTAAAATTTGATTTTATCCAAATTTTTTTTCGTTGTAGCTTGGAATCCATGAAGACTCCCAGAATCGCAGCAAGATTGCCGACTTCCTCAGGTACTACACTTCACATTCTGGTGATGACCTGACAACACTCAAGGACTACGTCTCAAGAATGAAGGAGAACCAGACACAGATTTACTACATCACAGGTAAATTGGTGAAATCATCAGCAGGTTTCTCACTGAATTCTAGTTCGAAGATATGAGCAGCATCAAATGGTCATGAAAATCATATTGATGTGGCCTCAATTGATAAGGGATTCATATATTTGATTGTTTATTTAAACTGCGTATTCCAAACAAACAAAATGACGTACATTTTTACATTTTTATGCCTCCGTTACGAAGTAGCCGGAGGCATTATGTTTTCTGGTTGTCCGTCCGTACGTCCCGTTCTCGTGATCGCGTTATCTGAAGAACCGATTGATGGATTCCTGCCAAACTTTGGTCATGTATGTATCTTGCAGAGCCGATGAACTGATTAGATTTTGGGGTCACGAGGTCAAAGGTCACAGGGCTCATTATGTATGCAAAAACAGCTCGTGATCGCGTTATCCAAAGAACCGATTGATGGATTCCTGCCAAACTTTGGTCATGTATGTATCTTGCAGAGCCGATTAACTGATTAGATTTTGGGGTCACGAGGTCAAAGGTCACAGGTCACAGGGCTCATTATGTATGCAAAAACAGCTCGTGATCGCGTTATCCAAAGAACCGATTGATGGATTCCTGCCAAACTTTGGTCATGTATGTATCTTGCAGAGCCGATGAACTGAATAGATTTTGGGGTCACGAGGTCAAAGGTCAAAGGTCCCAGGGCTCATTATGTATGCAAAAACTGCTCGTGATCACGTTATCTCAAGAACCGATTGAAGGATTCCTGCCAAACTTAGGTCATGTATGTTACTTGCGAAGCCGATGAACTGATTAGATTTTGGGGTCATGAGGTCAAGGTCATGTGGCTCATTATGTATGCAAAAATAGCTTGTGATCGCATTATCATTAGAACAGATTGATGGATTCCTGCCAAACTTAGATCATGTATGCATCTTGCAGAGCCAATGAACTGAGTAGATTCTTTGGTCATGAGGTCAAAGGTCATGGGCTCATTATGTATGCAAAAATAGCTTGTGAACACATTCTCATTAGAACTGACAAATGGATTACTATTTAACTCGGGACATCTTGCAGAGCCAATGAACTGAGTAGATGTTAGGGTCATGAGGTCAAAGATCAAAGGGTCATATATGTATATGGGAAATTGCTTGTAATCACAATATTCTGAGAACCTGTTAATGGATTACAATTGAACTTGAATTTGAAAAATTTCTTCTATTTTGGTTTGTAAATTGCTCTATGACGGAGGCATCATTTCGACTGCGCGCAGTCGAAGTTCCATCTAGTTTTCTGAATCTTAAAAGTTTTACAATATTGCTTTGTACTTCATGTTTGTTATATGGTACATGTAATTTTTGTTTCATCACTGAAAATATCAGCTTGCAATTCCCTTTTTTTTCTTCAATTTGCAGATGTTTTGTTGAATTATAATTACAATTTTAGAGCTATGTTAGAGGTATGTGCTATACTTGTACTTAATGCAAATTTTATAAATTTCATACTTCTATTCCCCATATAGGTGAATCAAGGGAACAGGTTGCCAACTCAGCATTCGTAGAGCGTGTGAAGAAGCGTGGGTTCGAGGTGCTGTACATGACTGAGCCTATTGATGAGTACTGTGTCCAACAGCTGAAGGAATACGATGGAAAGACTCTCGTCTCTGTCACCAAGGAAGGTCTAGAACTGCCAGAGGATGAAGACGAGAAGAAGAAGAGGGAGGAGGCAAAGGCCAAGTTTGAGAACCTCTGCAAGGTTGTCAAAGAAATCCTTGACAAGAAGGTTGAAAAGGTACGTCTGTCACTCTTGTCAAGTGGTGTCTGGGCTCCGTCTTGTAAAGAGTTGATATCAATCGCAACTATGTACATTAGAGATGGGAGACTGCAATCTTGTGATTGATTGGGATCAATTGTAACTCTTTATAAGACACAGGCCCTGATCTATAAATTTAATCAGTAATGTGAAAAGGGCTTTTTATACTTTCTAATCAACAAGTATGAGGTAAAGTAGGAAACGCTTTCTTTGAAATACAATATCTTTTTGTTGTTTGCATTATATGATTATATCAACTTCTTGTGATAAATTTCAAATCGTGTAATATTTTTATCTTTAAAATGAATTTGTTCAGTGATACAGCATTAAGAAAACACATCATTCAAATTTTTTTGAGGAGAATCAATGGTTCATTGCTTGTAATAATTGCAAATAAGTACTCAATTATACACAAAATGTATTATTCATTAATGATTGATCATCTTTTTGGTACAGGTGGTTGTGTCAAATCGTCTCGTCTCATCTCCATGCTGTATCGTAACTGGCCAGTATGGTTGGACCGCCAACATGGAGCGTATCATGAAGGCACAGGCACTCCGTGATACCAGCACCATGGGCTACATGGCAGCCAAGAAGCATATGGAGGTCAACCCAGACCATCCTATCATCGATTCTCTCAGGCAGAAAGCTGATGCAGATAAGAACGACAAATCTGTCAAAGACTTGGTGATGCTGCTCTACGAAACCTCCCTCATGGCATCAGGATTCTCACTGGAAGAGCCTATGACACATGCATCAAGAATCTACAGGATGATCAAACTTGGACTCGGTAAGCTCAATTATCTATACACCCTCTCACCTTCCTATTCCTACGCTATTGTATGAAGTAAGTCGATTATTTAGTAAATATACACTGAAGCGTAGGGCAATCAGCTCAAGAAAGTTTTACAACGAGTTGGGAAAATTTACTACAAGAAAATCCCTCTCACAGATATGTATCACCTTTTTGTACAGAGAAATCTAAAGGAGACTGCTTTCAAAGCTTTTTTTTTTTGTTGATGCATTCTTCTGTAGAAAAATCCTGGAGGACCCATTGGAAAGCTTCATCTGTGTACACAATTGTCCGAATATGAGGACTTAAAACCAGAGATTATCTTGCCCGGGAGGTCCAGAGCAAATTATGGGGGGGGGGGGGGGGGGGGGGTGTTCATTCCGGTCTTTACTCGTAATCTTGTCGGTATGGGTGAATATTTTTGGGCCCATTTATGAAAATGCTTATAATGGATTCAACCTTAACCTTTTGTATGGTATGTTTTTTTTGTGTGTGCAGGCATTGACGAGGATGATGTACCAGAGGAAACAGCTGATGAAGACATGCCACCATTGGAAGGTGATGATGATGATTCAGCCAGGATGGAGGAAGTCGATTAAAACTGGACTGATCATGAACATACCTAAAAAGAACTGACCATCGTAACTGTCTAGCATTTAAGAGTATGATTGTATTGAACATGCTGCAGTTGTTCAATTAACAACCTGCAGTGAAATTCGTCATGTTAACCTGGCGATTTTGAAGGCTCTGCAAGTCTCTCTGCAAGGATAGAATTTCATAGGAACAAGTATGCGGTCCAAGGAATGTATCTTCAGTCTTAGAGCCATCAGCATGTTCTCTGTATGATACCAGATATGCCAACCACCACTCCACACACATTTTAATGCCTCCCCAATTTTCTGAAAGATTATCCCTATTATGCTTTATGCAATTGATAAAAACCTCCCTGGTTTCTGATTGAATCCTCCCTGAAAGCTGAATGTAAAGGTTGGCATACCTGCTGTACTAGAGACAATGTACTGATTCTGAATGCAGTATTCTCATAGTGCATTGGCTTTAAGTTGTAAGAAACGTGTTTACACACCCCGTTACCTCCGTTCTAAATGATCCAATGTAATTATGTATCTTTCAATTTCAATGTTTGCAAATATCATAATTGGACCATTAAGTTGCCAAGGTTCATATCGATACATTTGCAAATCATCTCTAACGGCTAAATTATCGCCAAGTCAGTGATGGCTACACTCAACCATTTCCAGATTGTTGTGGATATAAGCTGTTTTAGTTATACTGCTTTACATGTGTGATAGCAATGTGGAAGCCTAGAAATTTCCCCCGAGATCATCAATATGAAGCGTTGTATAATCTTGTGTAAATGCAGTATTCAGTGTTAAAAAGTTTGTGCTTGTATTGTCTTTCTTGAAGTAATCCATTCAAAACTAAAAGCCTCAAAAGGTGAACATATGGTATACATATACATGTATGAACATTTAAAAATAGAGCATCGATCTAGTGGTTACCTGATCAAATCAGATGAGTGCACTCATTTCTAATAGTAGATGTTATTTTTTGGAAGAAAGTGGTTATCAGAGGATCATATTAACATCAAGGTATATTTGTATTTATTAATGTTGATATGATGCTGTAGCATTAATTTATGCAGTGTTGGGGGAAATTTCTTCAACATAGATAAAGAACTCCTCTTGCCCATTGCTTTCAATTCAAACCATAATATTGCACCAGAACAGAGTCTTACTTGTGGGTAGTATTTTATGTTGAATCAGGAATGTTGATACATGTAAATCTGTTTTGTGTATTTTGTTTTCTACTGTTAAAAAAAATAATAAATAAAAAAATAGAATCTTATCATCCTGTCTTCCTCTAAATTTATTTCACCTCTGTCTTTGTTCAGACATGATAGATAGTCAAATAGATGTTCTGTAGCAAGCCATCAGAAATCTTGGTTCATGGGCAACCCATGAATACACATTTCAATGGATTTTCCAAGAACTAAGATTTGAGACTATTTCTAGATACTGGCCTGGGTCCCAAATTTGTAAGATAAATTCCATGTACAGTATTGGAAGCTAACCATTTGATTGCATTAGACAGCAAGCACTGTTATATCAGACTGAAATGTTGCGTATCGGGTAAGTCCATATGAATGAAAGATTGGTGAACTATACAATTTCTACAACGGAGCAGTGGGGGGTCTGTTGTAAGCAGTGTACAAAGAGAGCTTTTGAGTGATTGAATAGGTGTGTGATGTGAAAGAAGCAAAAAGGACAGGTATGAATTATGCAAGAATCTTCCGGAACAGTTTGATATTTCTACAACAGTGCTGTGAGGGTCTGTTAGTGTACAAAGAGAGCTTTTGAGCGATTAAATAAATGTGTGATGTGAAAGAGGCAAAAAGGATAGGTATGTATTGGGCCAGAATCTTCTGGAACAGTTTGATATTTTTACAATAGTGCAGTGGGGTCTGTTGCAAGCAAGTGTAAAAAGAGAGCTTTTGAGTGATTGAGTAGAAGTGTGATGTGAAAGATGGTAGGTATGAATTGTGCCAAAATCCTCCGGAACATTTCGATATGTTTGGGATAAAATCTGTGAATGATCAAGGCAATTTGTACAGCTATTTTGTAGATACATTTAATTGTTAGAATTTTCTAACAATGCATGTTCTACACTATGCATGTCCTACACTATGAACATGACATACAAAGAAAGCGGACAAAATATACAGTTCCTCAGGTAGACAAAGGAACATCCCTTCACTGCTATTATGTAAAAAGGTGAATATGCATGTGACACCTGTTCTACACATGTTTACATAATAGCGGTGAAGGGATGTTCCTTTGTCTACCTGAAGAACTGTATATTTTGTCCGCTTTCTTTGTCAGTCATATTCATAGGACTAGTTGGTCCTGCAACAGAAGAATACACAATGGAAATCGAATACCAGTACATGTACCACACTTCACTCTCATTTTATTGTAATGACCTTTCACTAAAGAAAATATACATGTAGGTGAACAAAACGGATAAATACATTTGGAGTACATTTATACATTGCTATGGACGGAATGCTTTTCTTTGAAAAATCTTCTGAAATATCATACATGCTCTAATAACTTCATGAATGTTTTATTTCTTGTGTACTAAGCAAATATGTTTTGCAACTATCCCCTACATTACAACAATTACCTCCTGAGATTGTCAAGTAACACAACACACACACAAACACACACCAATATGAACCTGTAAATAGCATGACATAGACGCAAACAAACATCAGGCCTGATAAAAACCCGATTTAAATCGGTTTCCCGATTTTTTTTATTTTTCCCGATTTTTTCCCGATTTTTTTTTTTCTTCCCGATTTAAGAAAAAAAAAAAAAAAAAAAAAAAAATCATTTTTTTTTTTTTTTTTTTTTTACCAATTTTTTTTCCTTCCCTATTTTATCCTGATTTTCCCGATTTCCCTCTTATTACCTCTATTCTTACCTATTTTTCCCCCAATTTTCCCCCCAATTTTCCCAAGTTTGTCTCAATTTTCTTACTCGAAAGGGGGGAATGTTGTTAGATGCCATTTTTTCCCCGCGAATCGTCTTTTTTTTTTTTTACTCAAGGGGGGCGTGGTTGAGGGGAAAACAAAAAACCTATTTTTTTGTTAGTGCTCACTATCACCCCTGAAACATATATAAATACATATGATTTTCTTGGGCAAAGATTTTTTGTTTCTTTCTTTCTCTTTCTCTCTCTCCTAGAGTAGAAAAGACTTTCTCTTTCTCTCACTCTCTCTAACCCACTCTCTCCAAAAAAAAATATGACGTAAAAGCTCCTGAAAGACTATTAAAATGCATGTACATGTATATCGAGGGTTCAGTGACGCAAAGACGTAACTCCATATTTTGCCAAAATAAGTATTTCATATCAAAATGTTCGGAAAAATGTGGGCTTTCCAAGAAACACAAAGACTTAACTCCACCCAACACCCCATTAAAGTCAATAGCTAGTGAAAGATAGACTTAACTCCTTAAGGTCCAAGTGCTCAGTGACACATAAACCACTTTTTCTCAAAATGGAGTTTCGTCTTTGTGTCACTGACCCCTCGATATGTACTTGATGAAACCTCTTCTTATGGCTTAAACATTGAGGAAGGGACAGTGTCATAGGTTCTCTCAGATTCCTCTTCGTGCATCCTCTTCTTCTGGTTTGATTTGTTGAGTCTATTGTTTGCTGATCAGTCATCAAAGTTTGTTACATCAGTGTCATAGTTTCTCAAAGACTCTACTTGATGCACCCTGTATCTCTGTCTCCACGTGTTGAGGAGGGAACAGTGGATCAATAGCAGAAGCTATGATACCAGCGACTAACTCTGGCAACAGTCTCCTACAAGTGGAAACAAAATACATGTATGAAATATAAGGTAACAAGGGAGCAACATAATCATTGTACACTATGTGAAGGAAAAAAGAACTACATGTACACTGCACTAATTTTCTCTTAATTATAATATGGTTTCTTCTCACATTATAAACATAAAACAATTTGAAACGTATAACTTGAATAAATCCCTAATGCAAACTGACATCTAGCATTCAACAATATCTGATCATAACAAAATGTTTTTATTCTAATTTAAAATCTACTGTCTTTTGTATAAAAAGAAAACCTCAAGAATTCTTAAAGCTGTAATCTATCAAATGATGTAAATACATCAGGGGAGCTGCTAGCACAAGGCGGAAATGGAAATGGAAATGATGAACATGACTTACTGGGCACATGCAGGAGCACTGTTGATTTCTAGAAGCCATACCCTCAGGTCAGTATCCAACATGAAGTCAAATCCATACAGTTGGAAACTGTGGTATGATAGTCCAGCGGTAGACAGCTCCTGCAAGGAAATCAATCATGAAATCACTTTGTATCTAAGCCTTTAATACCTCTTCCAAACCCCTCCCCCCTCCCCTTCCCAGACACGCCCTCACCCTACATGATCACTGCTGTACAGCAGGTCACTATAGCTGGAAACTTACATTTAAAAGGTGTTCTGCTCATATTTGCAGTTTTGCCTTCAAGTCAGCACTCTTCAGAAAGGCAAAGTCATATAGCCTTCAGAAAGAAATTTGTTAAAGTGTGTCTGTACTAGTTTAGCCAGGAAGGATTAGACCTCCATGCAAGGTCACTGACAGATGGTTACCTCATCAAATCAGCTCTCAATTAACATAAGAAAGAGGGATCATGGGGGACCAATGGTTACCGATTAGACATTGTTTGCTATAAAGAGGGCACAAGTAGCTATAAGTAGTGCAGTGGGGCTTTAAAAAACACATGTATCTATTTCCTACCTGATACAAAAATAGTCATATCAAAATAAACACACAATAATAATAAAGAGAAAATTGAATGATAACAAATGACATACCTCTTTTACTGACAAACAGCACGTTCTCACAATATGTCTGATTTGAGGTAAGATCTTTTCTTCTAAGCTCACATTCCAATGTTCTTGTAGAATTCTGTAAAACAAGAGGATAATTCATAATGTAAATAAACATACAACATAGACTCCAACATCAGTGTGTATCAGAGAAATGTAAAACCATTGGGGGATTTAAATTTGCATGTGTGCCACAATCTTCAAGCAGATTGCTGAAATTTCTGTGCTGGTAGTTAATCACTAGGCAAATGGTTCAGTCGCATCTCTATTCTCTAAATTTGAATATATTACAACAATCAATGGTCTATACTTCAAGACCACACCACATTCTACTCACATTTTACAAAAAATTTAATCAGTAATACTGGTTTATTTAAGAAGGATATATATATATCTGTAAAGCGCTTTGAGAGGGCTTTCGGTCCTGAAAAGCGCTATATAAGAACTAGCTATTATTATTATTATTATATATATACCTAGTCCTACTAAATAGTGACAACTTTCACTCTGCACTCTTCTACAGCGGCTACAGATTAAAAATGATACCTGTCAAATGCATCAAAGAACATCTCATTTCCTTCTTCAAACTTTCCAAAGTCCTTGGAGTGGGCCTCCTACACACAAAAGATAACAAACAACACATTAGGAATGGGAAAGAGAGATACATTCAACATGGAAATGAGGATACATTATTGTGGAAGAAATCTGTCAAAGATATTATGTATTATGCTTTATCTATCTACATAATGTCTTTGACAGTAAAGTTTCTTAATCTGTTTTCCTTCCACAAAAATGTATCCTCATTTCCAAGTGGAATGAAATAGATATATTTTTTCTGCAACTACACTTACGGTTTAAAAAAAGAAAAATGGTCCACTTGTTTCAGACTCAAGTATGAAATAATAATAATACAATATTTATAAAGCCAATAAACACAATCTGTTTCTCTATGCGCTATGCACCATCCTTTTTTCATCTCCATATGATTATGAAGAGAGTTCATGAGAGGGATCATTTACATATTCAAGACTAAACAAGGTCAACTTCTTGTCTGTGTGAGAGAGAGAGAGAGAGAGAGAGAGAAGGGGTGGGGGAGGGGGGTAGCAGAAGGAGGGAGGGGTAATTTACTCGGGAGCTATTCATGCTTCCAGTAATTTGTGTAATGCATTTGTAATGTATCAGTAACTGCATTATTCCATTATAAATTAATAGGTGATTAAAATATCTAATTGATAGAATGAGGCATACATCCGTACCTGAATACAATGATTGGTGAGATGAGATACAAGATTAGATATATCCTCTGGTTCATAAGGCTCAGCACATGTTCTCAAAACGCCTTCTTTCATCAGATAAATGTTATATTGATGATCTAGCAACACCCAACATCTGAAATAAAAATTATAAAAGAAGGAATAAATTATTTCTGAATGTTACTCCTCTCTCAATCACTGGTGATGATAGTGACTGTATGATGATGGTGGTGTGATGGTGATAAGAAAGTTAAGATAATAAAAGGGTAAGGATGATATTGATGATAATACTGAGGGTTTGCATCATAATGATATGTGTCTTACCATCTACAAACACTATTTAAACAAAAATACCGGAGCTGTTTCTACTGGTAAGGGTGATCAGGGCGAGAAGAATACAATAAAAAAGCAAAATAAGTTAGAGTATATATGTAGGACAAAAACTTTAAAAAATACAAGAAATTTTATGGTATGATAATGAGTACGACCTTACTTGACCTTACAATGACCTTACCTGATGTCAAACTTTCTGCTGCCTGGTAATAGTAGAGGATTCTCAATATACTTCTGAACAACATGTGCATGAGGATGGGAGTCCACAAATGAGAGAAGTTCATCAGAATTACTGGATATCAAAATACCCTCTCCTATATCAGAGATAAAATCACAAAACAATGGTTGCCGGACTTTCTCAAAGTAAAGATGGAATGGACAACAATATGGCACACAACATGCAAGGAAGGATAAGAAAGAGTTGCAAAATAACTCTCATTGGGAATTCTATGACAACATATCAAAGATTCTGCGTCATCAATTTTTGTCTGGCTATTTTATATGGGCAGGTATGTATATTATTGAATGGGAAGGCAACGGTACATCAAATAAAGCACTGGAAATAGCATACAAATCTGAAGTAACCTAACATCAGATGAGATGCAAGACGAAACTCATTGAATCTTCCAGCTACTTTACTTGACTCTTACAGCTAGAGTTTCATAATTGCAAATTCTAGGCCCCTCTAAAATTCCAAACACAGTACCCTTATATACAGGCTAGGCCTCCAGATATTAATTAAATATTGACCCCCCCCCCCCCCCCCCCCATGAAAACATGTAGTAAATGTGTATCAGGGCCCTCCTTCATCATCATACTCATAGGATCAGAGTGTCATAGAGTTGACACTTTAACAAACCTTTCAATCCAGCTGTTGATTTAGCAATCCAGATATCTCCACTGCCACTTGCTTGCTTGCTTGCATGAGATCTCTTTAGTTCTTCTCTCTGGTCAGGCTTTGGTACTTGGAACGGTTTCTTTCTCAAGGATTCTTCATCCCTCTGCTGAGGCCTGATGATGTAGGTTTCTGGTAACCATAGCGATATATCTTCTCCTGTAGATTCCTGCCAACTACTCAAAGCTGTTACAAGAGCAGTCTTTCTGCTAAGTTTTCCAGATCCTCGGTAGCAGTTCACTAGCTGCAGAATTCCATCATGACCTGAATTATGCGCACATGCAAGAAATGAAAGAAACAATCAATTATGGAAGTGTACTGCATGTGTACATATTCTGGTAATTTGAAAAATAACCTGCTTAGAGATCCATTTGCTTTATTATTAAAATCAATATATGTCATTCTAACTAAACTAAAGCCAACTGGTTGATGTTCATACTACAAAGACATACCTAAGAGTAAGATGTAAGCCAAATAATATATAACTATAATTCTTATAACCCAATCATTACATCATCACTATGCAGCATAAGCAATAGCAACATCATCATCACCAGCAGCGTCATCACCAGCAGCGTCATCACCAGTCACCATCTCCATGCTCCATCAAAATTTCATGGTCCATCAGCTACACTCATCCTCTTCTTCATCTAGCTATAGATGTCTGCAGCAAGCAGATAGCTGAGTTTGTCATGCAGACTTAATTTTAACAATTTTCAACTCAATCCTTTTGAACTAATGTATCAATTTACCTAAGACACCCAATCCTCGGGCTCAAACATAAACACTACAGAGTACAGTCGTACAGACTTACTATACAGCTGTATATAATATAGACCATTTACAAGTACATGTTTAACATTACCCAATCTTCCAAATGGAAACTTCACTGTGTTCCTCTCCCCAATGATCAGATTGGCTTTGACGGTGTCGCCGGTCTTCTGAGTCCAATGTGATCGTCTCGAAATAGTTTCAACTAAAGCGTGATAAACACTACTTTTATCGTCTCGAACAATATATGAAAACATTATACCTTATAAAAAATACACAACAAGTACTTCACCACTGTATGGAATGTAATGTGCTTGTGCGGGCGCGGGAGATCCCCGGATCGGAGTGCCGAATACCGGGGGCGGGTGGGGCTGAAATGACATCAGGCGCCTCGGCCTCGCTACACAGTTTTAGCATACCCCAGCCAGAGAGTTTCCCCAGCCAAAGGGCTGGGGGCTCCGGCGGCAGCATAGCTCGCCGACTTGACTCGACTACTATACTACGCTCATGACCACTAGCACAGCGCATTCGGGATCGGCGGAGAGCAGAGAAGGCGCTAAGCATGGCTGTCCGGCAAATGCAGAGTGTTTCACAACTGTGCTCATTCATAGCTCGAAGTAAGTTTGTGAGAAGTTTTGGTTTACATTTCTAATGTGTTTTTTTAACGTTATTTATTAAATATGGATACATTTTATGGCGGAATACTGCCTAAAAATAGAAGTTACTTAATCAAAAGTTTTACTTCAGACCAACCTATTGCAATTCATGTGATGTTCCTTTTGTTTTTAACTCTAACTTCTAAGTTCTAGTCTACTTCAAAGTTCTACAGGGAAACTCCTCAGGATAAGTCAGGATCATCAGATCATGTAATGCAGAAGAATTAAACTTGTGCTTAGTTGTGGTGCATACTTATTGGTGCATATATATGGAGATGGAATGAGGAAAGAGTGCGTGTGACAGAATGGAATGGAGCTTGCCTGATGGGAGGTGACGCTGCAAAAGTACACTAGATCTAGCACTGTTCTCTTTACGTGTTGACTGTTTCCAATTCCATTTCTGGGCCCTGTTCAGAAACCTATCCAAAATTTGACCTGTAACTCCGGTGTGGAGATACCCTACTAAAATATACCCAACGTAATGTCTCGGATCCTCATTCGGTAGATAACTTCACACAGGCGCGGGCCTGCCCGCAACCCACCATCGGTATGCATGCACTTGTATTGTGCAGTGGTTTGCCGTGAAACCTGTGAAAAAGTGTATACTAATATCAACGTTTATCCGAAAAATACTCCGAAAAATACTCCGAAAAATACTCCAAAAATAACAAGAAAATTGACACGAAACGGGTAATAAAATAACAACTTTTAATTCATGATCTTTATTTGGACATTTAATGAATATTTACTTCATTTTGGGTATGTTTTAGTAGGGTATCTCCACCCTTGAGTTACGGGTCAAATTTTGGATAGGTTTCTGAACAAGCACCCATTTCTGCTTCATGTCTAGTAAGTCTAGTAACCAATAATCAGTAATTTTCATTGTTTTGGTGATTTGCAAAAGAACATACAGTAATTGTCACTGCACTGTCAATTAGTAATTTCTAATTTTTTCTATTGTGTTATGAACAATGTCTAGGATGTCTATCAGTATCCTATTGTTTTCCTTCATGAATTTATCAACACCACTTCAAATGACTCATCTGAAAGGGTTTTCTTGGTCCAGCATTGACTCCATGAACATTCTTATTGTGGGAATTACATTTCCCATTTTAAATATTTACATATTTTCTCATCCTGTTTTCTAAAGGATTGGTGATAGGACCTAATTTATCCAGCCAGACCAGATTGCTATCAACATCACCATGCCAACCAAGAGACGAGAGAATGTTAGTTGCTCCACAAAGCTTCATGGTTCAGAAGAGATACACTAGCTGGTATAATACACGTAAGCTGTCCTTCAATATGTTTACTTTCATGATAAATTCATTTTGGTTAAGTTATTATTTGTTTTTATTATACATGTATGGCATCCCTATGCCTGGTCAATTTTTTTTTGTTTGTTTGGGTCTCTTTTTATTTTCCTTTAAGAGTATGAAGAGAATGGTTTTGGCAAAAATGGCATAAGTTATGTCATAAAACATATAAATGGATAGATGTCACAACCTTTAATAAATCGACTTTGTTTTGTAAATTTTTAGTAACTGCTGATCAGCTATGGAAAGGAATGTTAGCAACTACTGGTAAGGCAGCTAGGAAGGCAAGAGGCAAGAGACCTGCAAGAAGAATGAAGAAGGATCTTAACAGAGGGCAAATGGTTGGAGAAGGTATGTAACTCATTTTACTTTCAATAGTGTAATATGTGTATGATGAGACAAGCCACCCCTCCCTCTTCCCCAAGTTAGTATATGAGTAATAATATAATTTGTAATTTAAATAATGTGGCCACATTTTAAATTTTATTCAGATTAATTTTGAATGTTTATATCACTGTGTCAAAATGTTGCAAGGAGAAATTCAGTTGGAATGAAATGATACTATTCTGTAACTTGGTATAAACAGGTAGAGCTCAGATTGCCTGGCCAGGCCTGAATGCACCTGTAGTTCAGGGTAAAGAAGTCTTAACAATTCAGAAGAAACTACCTGATCCAGAGAAAGAAGAGAGATTACGTCTGATGAGAGAGCAGTGGGATAAGAAGAGGAAGCGTACTGTACCACCAGAAGAGAGAGGTTGGACATCTAAGAGCTGGGGTGGAAGAACATTAGGACCCCCTGATCCTATCCCTGGAGGTATGTCAAAATCACCCTATTCCAATAATGTGCTATTAGAAGAAATTAATTTCTCTACCCGCCTTTATATCAAACACTTGATGAAGCTGCTGTAAAAGAGAATTCATTTATCTACATTTGCATTGATCATCCCAACAGTGTGTTATGAAAATGAATACCAGTATTCTATTTACATATGTATGAAATACTCTAAATAGTATGGTATGGAAAAGGAATTGATCTTTTACATGTATTTAAAAGAATGATTTTAAGTATTTTATGCATTTCTTACTTATTGCAGAGAACTTTGAAGGCTTTGATTCTCGTGTGATCCATGTGAGGAGAGTATTTAATATGACAGGTTCAGTTGGTAGAAAGAGATCTATGTCAGCTCTGGTTGTTGTTGGCAATGGAAATGGAGCAATAGGTAAGAATCTTCTGCATATTAACCTATTTTCTAAGTATAATATTTGTATGTAAAAAGAAGTTGATGGCAAAGCATTTTATTTCCAATGGGATAATTTTTATAGTAATTAATGGTTGCATTTGATTTTAATGGGACCAACTAACTAGTTCAGTGATTGGGGTCAATTTAGCCATAATTCTTGTGGTCAATTACCACCTTCAGGCATCCCAGAGTTAATTTAAGGTACCCGGGACATGTATATTAAACAGAACAGAGGTTATTTTTAAACAGTACAGCAATTGAAAACTTAAACATAAATCAGAAACATACCAAAATATGTTTAAACTCTCCCTTAGATTTATCATTTGATTTATTTTGGAGAAGCAGTAGCAAGGTGTTGTGATGGATGCTTTTTCTCATTATAACCAGGTTATGCTCTTGGTAAGGCACCAGGTGTGATAGCTGCACTGAGAAAGGCTAAAAACAAAGCTGCAACAAATCTTCACTACATTGAACGCTATGATGACCACACAAGTAAGAAGAGAGTCATAAATTGTTATTGTTGTTGTTGTGTTTGTCTCCCACTCCGGGAATGGGGGGACCGCATGCATGTTAAAAAAAATGTCTGGTAAAGGGGTACTTTTCACGCAGCAAAGTCCGGCTTTCAACACACACAAAAATCGGCCCGTATTGACTTTACACACCGGACTTAGGGGGTGTTTTTGAAAGGAGGGAACATGCATACATGTACCCTGAATAATGGGGGGGGGGGGGGGGGTTGTCTTTACTTTCATAATACATAGATAACAATATTGAAATGAGAAAGTTCATTCTGAGATCAATCTGTCAACCATAAAATGCAGCAAGGATTCTTATATGGATTATACAATGTAAGTTTGAGGTTTTTTCGACCATAGCATAAAAATTTGTTCCTGAGTGATGCAAGTTTCTCATCACTTTTATGTATGTTCTTCTTTCCAGTCTATCATGATATAGAGACAAATTTCGAGGTTACAAGAATTCGAATGAGAAAGCAGAACAAAGGTATGTATGGTATCACTGTCAGTTGAATTGAATTCTGGAGAAAAAACTCATTGTGTGAGTTATCATTTGTGTTTGAGAAACAATCTTTTTAAGATACAACTTCGGAGTAAACGGACATGATGATGCCTAGAGAAAGAAATTGACATATGAAGAAATACAGGATTTACTGTTCAACAAGAAGGAATAGAGTTTGAGTTAAATGTATGAGAGGAGAATATTGATGTACATGAAAAGAAAAAGAACCTACATTACCAGAAAAAGGTAGAGAAACAATGCGGAAAAGAGTACAGTTAGCTCTGCACAAGTCACATCTGTTGTGATCGCAGAAAAATAGTTCAACTTAGGAAGTGTTTACACATTTTTTGTTGTTGTAATGATTTAGGGGAAATATGACTTGTGTGACTTGAGTTAAGAAGAGTTAACTGTACTACATAAAGATGAGAATGATCAAGAACAAGATATGAAATATTAAAAGTATTTGCCATGTCATTGCAGGGTATGGTTTGAGGTGCCATCGTGTTATGAAGGAGATATGTAGATTAGCTGGGATTAAGGATCTCTATGCCAGAGTGTATGGTTCCGTCAACCCTATCAATCTAACCAAAGCTGCTATCAATGGTTTTGTAAACCAGGTAGGTATTCTGTCAATGTAAGATGTATACACCAATCTGTGGTGTTAACACCAGGGTGTATGATTCAAACATCCCTATTAATCTTACCAAAGCTGCTATCAATGGTTTTGTAAACCAGGTAGGTGTTCTGTCAATGTAAGATGTATACACCAATGTATAGTGTTATTACCAGAGTGTATGGCTCCATCACCGACCCATTCAACCCAACTAGAGCCGTTTTCTATGATGTAGTTACAGGTGAACGATGTGGGAACTGCAGCTCCCTTCAGCCCCTGCCTTGAAGTATAATGTTATTGTTTTCATTCGGTTTAAGATGGCGCTTTAACCTAATTGACAATGACAGTACGGTATACGATACTACCAATTCAACCAACTTTATTTGATATGTCCTTCTACCTGGTGACTTAAGCTTCCCAAAAAAGCCTAAATATTTCACATTAAATTGATCCCTTTATATTTTATTATTTATTTCTCTTTTAAGGAAACTCATCAACAGATAGCAGATAGGAAAGGTCTCCATGTTGTTGAGGTGCGTCCAGAGCGGGGGAGTCTTCCCATCGTAGTAGCGTCACCAAAGAACAAAGATACAAGGACAGACGTGGACGAAGAGCCTTGGGATAAAGAGCTCCCTCTAGAATGGAAAGAAGAGAAGCCTAGGAAGTTTGAGAACAATTTCATTCGTGAAGGAACTATGATATTCTAGAGGATTTCAAAGATGTTTTGGATTTTGGTGGCAAGAGAACACGAGGACAGTTGTTAATTTTGGGGTTTTGGGGCCCTGAATCCACAAAGGAGGTTTTTAAACCATGGTCATGCGTTTCCAAGCTGGAAAAAGTTTGGCAATGAGAAAATTCAACACCATTCATTTTGAAGCTCGACTTATGATTATGATGTAGAAATAATTGTCCAGGATTTTAGAAAAAGGTGAAACAATATCATTGAACTCACAACGACTTAATTTGATAATATTCTGCATGTACTTTTACCTTTGTGAAAGAGGGTTCCTGCATGTGCGACCTTTTACAGTTCAATTCAATTTATACCAGTATATGTTCAGGTTTATTGCAGTCATATTCAACCCATGGGACCGTGAGGAAAAGCAATTGTAATTGCATTATGACTAGATTTCTAAATATGTTTCGCATGGATATGATGTATCGATGTCTGATAAAACGAAAATGCATGTAGTAAACTACCGGTAGTAATCTTATTTTTGTAATCATATTCCTGAATCTGTTTCAATGTTCATTTTGTGAAAGAATGACATTGAAATGGAAACATGCTGGCACATGGTTCACAACCCATACAGGTCAATCCTGTGATAACGAAGTCATGTTGAAATGTTCTGCTTTAATAATCGTCCTTATGATATTAGTTCTTCCTAAATATAAAAGAACAAGAATTGCATTATATTGGCTTTATGACTACCGGTATGCAATAAGAAATCAAAGAATGTTATGAATTGTTTTAAGACTTGTCATCACTTTGGATCTATGGTAACTTGTACTACAGCGCCCAGGTTATCAGGGCACGGATCTGTTCAGCCAGATGGCTTGGATAGGGTATAAAATAATAAGATTACATGTATTCACCATGTGAAGGTGTTGAGTTGTCTCTGCTGTGTGTAAACTGTCAATTAAATTATTTCAAATCCCTTCTTGGTTAGGAGGTAGAAGCATTGGTTTGCAAACACAGGAGCCCCTTCTTATTAAGAGTTGCAATTGATTCAAATTGATCACAACTTGAAATTTATCCCAACTCCTATTTCTTAAGTACGCAGTTTCTATTAATTTTAAGTTGTGATTGATTCAAATCAATCACAACTCTTTTACAAAGTGGTAAAAAAAAATCCATATATTGTTTCCTTAACAAGTTACATAAAACATTTATATTAAAATTCAGAATCCTTCCAGAGTTCTAGTAATGAAACTTTTCTGAAAGAAATCAATATATGAACATTTCTTGATCATGTTGTCAATATCAATTAACTTCTGATATGTCATGGCTTTGGTGGAACATACATGTACATACAATATTATGCACACACTAAAAAGAACATCCCGATATATAATATTTTGTATGGTAGTCTTAGAAGTCACATTTCCCTTATTTAGTTATTTTTTCCTGTGAAACTGACAAATATTGTTAACATTGCATTATTACATTAAAACTACTTTATAACTACATTACATGTCTTTGAATTCTTTTGCGTATGTTACTCATTGTCTTCACTAGTACTCTAATTCTTAATCATCTACCAGTCTAAGAAGTGAATGCAACATAAGTGTATTTAGGGCATTACATAATTGTACATTGCAAGAACGGTTTAGATGACCAATCATGACATCCATAAACTGATTAGCGTCTGTGAGGTTGATTTAATCGTGAATTTGAATATTATTTACTGGCTTATACAGTGAAGTTATTATGTATAAAAGTAAAACGCAGACACAACAAATAGATGATTACATAAATCGAAGCAAGTAAACAGTTATTGTTATTTGTATAAATATATTTGGCTTTATTTATACCTGAACATTTCTACGAAACAATCGATACGCACATTACATTCATGAATATCAATCAGGCCTCCAAGCTGATTTTTTTTTCTTCTGAAGTGAAATTTAGGGGGTCTGTATAAACCAGACCCCTCTTTATGTGTCCAGCCCCAATATCAATCCACCAACCCTCTTTCATGATTCATTATATCAAAATTTATTTTTCCTTGATGGCTGAAATGAAAAATGCAACGGTATTTCAAAGTATTCTTTTAAAGATGCATTTATAAGTGGGAAAGGTTTGAATAAAAAATTGAACGGTTGATGGTTACAAACACTGAAGCAGTCCTTGAGCATACGATAAGTTCGAAGTGTGTGGATCTCATCAATCCACCAAGTTATGCAACTGATGTAACAAACATCAGACACATTCATCATGTACAGCTTCCATCCAAAATCCTTGAAAATCCATAAATTCCATGAAATTCCATGAAATTCCACAAATTCCATACATGTAGGAGCTGTGTTCAAAGCGATGTTCATTCATTGTTGCTCATTATTGATTCATCATCTTTTGTTTTTCTTCATGAACATGGATACATTAGCTTTTACTGCTGGCCACAAGAGAGAGAAGTTCTTGCGATACCATTGCTTGTTGTAGTCATGAAATGAATGCTGATTGTCTTTTAAAAACTGTTGGTAAAACTCTGCCATGTCCTCAGCACTCAGAACTTGCTTTACACCTGTAATAAAAACAACAAAAATCTGTGTTTATACATTGTACTAAAAAACAGTCATTTAAAAAAATGCATTTATCAGAGTTGATATGATATTAAATTAATGTATGATAATTGATTCGGGGGGGGGGGTCACAAAATATTAACAATTTGTTACATGCAGCATTTAATGTTCGCAGGGGGACATTTTTTTTAAATGCAGTCTGAGGGGCTTAACTTATGATGAAGAAATTTGGTAATCAGGAGATACTTGATTAAGATAAATTGTAAGTACCGGTAACAAGTGCAAATCTTGATCATTCAAATGGAAAGGTTCTATTTTCTATTTGTCATACATGTAGTCTTTAATTTATCTCAAGTCTACATTTTTGTTCTGTACATTGTGTACACTATAAATTTTAAGATAAAATCTTGGGTATGAAAAGTGAATGAACTGTACCAGATCCTATGACATCATTGTCTGATGAATCTTCCGTCTCTTTCTGCTTCTCACCAAGACGAGCCTGAACAAATTCCTCTTTGGCCTGTCAGAAAGAGAGAGAGAGAGAGAAAAAAGAAAAGGAAAAAATGAATATACACTATAGCTTCACTCTTTGTGTCATTAAAGATGCAACTCTATTGACAAGAAGCAATATTGATTGATATAGTGATCATAAAGCCATATACATGTATCGACCATACTATTGAATGGCCGATTTGTAGACGTTCTTGTCACCAAGAGCAGAACCTATTGGGGCCCCCATCCCCCCCCCCCCCCCCCCAAAAAAAAAAAAAAAAAAAAAAAAAAAAAATTATAGGCCTAATTAATAAAAATTATATTTTTTATAAAAATAGAAAAAGGAAAAAAAAATTACAATGTAGAAAAAAGGAATAAGTGAATAGGCTATATACAATGTACAATGCAAATGAATAGGACATTCCCTTTTGATGAAAACTCATGAGCATCTTTAGAATTTTTTGACATTCACTAATTTTCCATCATTCATGTCCAGATGGTCAACTGTGACCAACCACTATACATCCTTTGATACAGGTTAGAGTTTTCTACATTTAAAAACCTTTGTGATTTTAGGAGTTAACTTCTATAGTTCTATTATTTTGTTTTCTAATGCTGTCCTTACAAATCATTCATTCACTTTGATTTTTGTTTTCCTTACCCCAGTAATCAAAATACTTCATTAACAATCATTCTCCTCACAACTCTTTTTACCTTGATGAATATCTCATTCTGCTTTGACCAGAATTGATGGTTCCAATCATTTGTAGCTGTTCTTGAGACTCTATAATCCCTTTCTACATCTGTTTCATTCTGAGGCTGAGCAAGTATGACACGTCGAAGATTAGACTTCTTATCAGCAGGGCCGATCCAATCACGACTTGGGAATGGAGGAGGAGGCATGGGTGGAGGATCTTCATCAATGGTTTCTCCTGCTGAAGGTTCTGCTTTATTCGGAGCCTGCATTATGAAAGAAAATGATATAGCATGTCAATTTCAAGTAAAGAAGGAACAGGAAAGAACTAATTTAAAACAAACAATGGATTTCATAGGTACCATTGAACCAACTTTCAATTTTCTGAAAAATTAAACAAATGACATCCAAGTCACCCTCATACTCTCTAACTCTCTCTCTCTCTCTCTCTTAGTCTATCTGCTCCTCCTATGACTCAACCTTTTCCCCAACTCAAATGCACTCTCCAGACTTCATAAAATATCTTTAGGAGTGCTCAGACTCCATTCAGTCAGAGGAACCTATTTGGCATAAACTTTTACAACTAAGGGTCATTATTAGGGTCTACACTTTACATTGGATGAATCATGGCAGCACAGGTTACATGTAGTATACTAAGTGCATGAACTGTCTGAAAAATTTATATTTTTAGTGGTTTTGAGAAGAGGATATATTTCAATATTTTAAAAACTAAGAGAAGCTACATGTATTATCATTGTTGAATTCTGTAGGCGCTTGACAAGTTGGAATGATAACGTACGGTAAGTACAATTCAATAACAAACTTGCCTTTTACAATGTGGGATAATCAAATATATTTGATATACAGTTGTTCTTTCAATTTGATATTTACCACTGTATTTGGGGGTGGATTTTTTTTTGTCTACTTGCGAGTAGCCTACCGAACTTGCTATTGCACCCATAAATCGTAATGCACATGAGTGACAAGAGTCAAGACTCGACTCGCAGAAAGGCCCAAGTCCAACTTGGAAGGTGGGGTTAACATGGTGGCGCTAGTGTAGTTCCGTATCCATTTTTTTTAGCAGTTTAATGTCCATTCTTGCGCGATACCATAAACCATACGAGAAGTCTGCATACTTTTGTACTGATAGCTTCAGTTTGAGGTGCAGGACTACAGCATAGAGACGGTACTGAGCGACGACGTCGACATCGAAGCCCTAAACGAAGGTTTCCCTATGTCGAATGTGATCCAAATTCAGGTGGAAACTGCAATATATGATTATGATTAAAATTAGTTAAAAATTGGGCTAAAATTCCTTTGCTAAGAATGGATATTAAACTGCTAAAAAAATGGATACGGAACTACACTAGCGCCAACATGGTTACGTGTGCGGGTTTCATGTTAATTTTATTTTGTTCAAACTCGATCCTTATCCTTTTCCCAGGCCTAGTAGGCCTAGATCTAGACCTACGTACTCACTACACTAATAAATTAATCTAGGCCTACTTAATAACTTATAAAGCACACTTATTGCCTCTAACTTACTCAAGCTCAAGGTGCTATACAAAACAAAATACACAAATCTCTCTCCAGAAAATGGTAGAATTTTAACATAGACTCTTGGAGGTCTAGATCTAGAGTCTAATAATTTGTAACACTAACTGTTCTAACAAGACGTTTCTGACAGGTTTCAAAAATTCTATTTTCTAGGCATTGAATCTTTCGAATGGCACTTTGCAGATGATAGTCTTTATACATTCTTGCTAGAGTCAAGTCTTAAGTTATATGATAATTATCTTTGATTGGTCCATTTCTGTATTCCTTGAAATTGTTAAGACTATTAATAAAGTTCTGCCCGCTTTAGATGTCTAACTTAACTTTAGTTAAGTTTAAAAAGTTAAGTAAAAAAAAAACAGTTCAGCTTACCATTTTCTCGCAATATGAACGGGTAATTCCACGTGTTATCCCACGGTGATTGGAACACAATAACCAGGTATGTGTCTTAGGAAGCATAGGAAGCATAGTAACAATCTTTGTTTTCTAAAAACGACTAAATTTCAGAATTTAATCAAGAGAATAGTCTTGGTAGTGGTACTGTATTGGCGCCGGTATGTAGTTATGTAGTTGACTGGCTACAGTGTCTTCAAACAGTACAAGCAAAATATAAAGGAAAAATAACAACTCTACCTTGCACTACTAGTAGATTGCAGACACATGCCACGTGATTTGTATGCCTAGGGTGATTTTTTACCATTAAGAATACCGAATTTTGGGAACAAAACATAATTATACTATTTTTTTCATGTCCTTTATTCATTTTGGGACAGAAGCAAAACAAAAAAGCTAAGATCAAGTGACAAATTTGAGGGGAGACTAACTATTGAGTCTGTAAATAAAGACTAAAATGTTAAAAAGTTCGTTGACTTCTTCTAAGAAAAAAAATGATATTGCGTATTTTATATGTTTGCAGAAGGGACATTTACCGGTACACATTTATCATTCACCGGCTCACCACTACCCAGATTTACCAGTAGGATTTACACTTAAACATAGAAGCTGAAATAAAATAATAATTCCATAAGGAAATAAGGAAATTTCCATAAGGAAATTGGTGTAAATGATGCGGTTCCGCGGCGAAACTACCTCTACAAAATCCCACACGAGTGGAGATAATCGAGACGGAGACGAGACGAAACCTACCGGGGAGGTTTCGGCTTGCAAGAAAACAGAGAGGCGGCGGTGAGTAGCTAGTACTAGGGTGCCTGTGTACTCTGTGGCTTTTTGTACTCCCCCATTCTCCATCTCCTCCTTCTCCTTTTCCTTTTCCTTTTCCTTTTCCTTTTCCTTTTCCTTTTCCTTCTTCTCCTTCTCCTTCTCCTTCTCCTTCTCCTTCTCCTTCTCCTTCTCCTTCTCCTTCTCCTTCTCCTTCTTCTCCTTCTCCTTCTCCTTCTCCTTCTCCTTCTCCTTCTCCTTCTCCTTCTCCTTCTCCTTCTCCTTCTCCTTCTCCTTCTCCTTCTCCTTCTCCTTCTCCTTCTCCTTCTCCTTCTCCTCCTCCTCCTCCTCCTCCTCCTCCTCCTCCTCCTCCTCCTCCTCCTCCTCCTTCTTCTCCTCCTCCTCCTCCTCCATAGTTGGGTGACTTATCCACTAGACCACAACTTTACTAAAACAAGATAAACATTGTATTGCCCTTCTATCACAGTTGGATTTTCTGTACCTCCTCCTCTTTGAGGAAGTTTAAAGAGGAACAGTTGACAAGGTCTCCTGGCCTGGCAGTGAGTTCCATAGTCTAGTAGCGACTCGTTCATTCACACTTAGATCTATAGAGCCAGGGAAAGTAATAGTTAGAAAATGATAACCTCTGGTTGATCAGAGTCCTTGCAAAGGGTATGTGAAACTATTGTGAGTATTTGTGACAGTCCATGGATTGGTTTGATGACATTTTTATCAGCAAGAGATAGGTATGAAAAATATCTTGATAATACGGTACATGCACATCAGCATCATCTTGAGCTGTGCTCTATGGTCTTGTGACAGAGATCCCATTTTTTCATTTACACCCAAAGAGGAATTTTCGATAATGTTTTAATAAAAACTTGAAACAAATTGAGACAGCACCTGGAAAATAAATTCGGACACGAAATTGTGTAGATTGTCTATTGACTTTGTTGAAAAGGGAAATCCATCTTTAATAGCAAACAACTCTAAAAGAAAGTGTAAAAATCAGAGAAGTAGACTGGTGAGAGTTTAAACAAAATCAGATAAAGAATGGTTTTATTATCCAAACGTTCAAATACAGTAATATAACAATAATAACAATAATAAATGTATGTTTAACAAATATCTCAAATAAATAATAGGGACCAGAAAATATCATAAAATGCTAATCATGTCTGGTATCTTTAAAGTACAGTTTCTTACCATTTAAGTATTTGTGTATTATTGAATACAGGTACAACTTAAGCTACATACTATTCTACTGGTATGTACCAGTATATAACATAATACATGTTTGTGTCATTGTGTGTTTAGTACAAAGCCTAAACTTGTATAAATAGACATTCCGTATACAGTAAAGTATCATAACTGTCTACAAATATAGAGTACAGGTACATGTTTATTGTCTAATAAAAGGCATTAAGCTTGGTTAAAAGGTGACCATAGTTATTCTATTAACATTTGTGCAGCTGAATCAGTAATGCTACTGTGATGTAGTGCTGGACAAATTTCCCATTTTTCCCCAACACATAAAGTGACTGAATTTCTTTCTATTTTTCTTCAACATGTATGATTTGGGAGGTTTTTTCTCTCTGGAGGACCTAGAAAAAAGGGAGAATGCATTTGGGAGAAAAACAAAAATCAATGATCTCTAGTCATCTTATACTTCAAACATTCATTAACTCTCTTATTATTGGTCCGATTTATATCACTTTCGCCATTCTGTATTTCTGTTTCTCTTATGACAAGGGTTGGATCACCCTTTAATAATTTTCTCTCAGGAAAAGTGAACTGATTTGACTTACCAACTGGCATCTTTCTTGGTAATAAATCATGTTTAAACTTAAAGTGATTATTTGTTTGGGTAAAGTAGACTCTAGTTGTTTTATTTAACTACTAAAAGTTACATTTTTGAACACTTTTGATATCCCTTGAATTGGACCCCCCCCCCCTCATGTTTTTGTCAATCATAACCTGCCCAGTAAGCCTACATACATGTAGTAGCATGTGGAATGCATATATATCATCATCAAGCATCATCAAGCATTTACGCTTATGACATGTATTCTCCTGCTTTTTCCTTTGTAAGAAACTTGTATTTTAACTAGAAACATATTTTGTCAAACTTACATGTTATTAATTATATTTATTTGTATGATGTTTTTTTTGTATTGCTATGAAAAAGTGGAAATAAAACAAAACAAAACAAATATACAGTGTAAGAGAAGAAGATACCGGTAAGCACTTTATTGGGAGAGATCATGAAAGGGTGAACTTTAAATTTTATACTATATTATGTGTCAGTGTATTTTGATAGGGGATATTTTCCACTAAGAATACCTCCAGCTGCACCTAATCCCTTGGAGGAGAGGGTCAATTTTGTTTAACTCCTCCAAGCAGATTTTTCTGTTAAAGTATATACCGGTATCTAATTTCTTTCCTTTCATCTTTTGTTTTTCTTTAGAAAGAGAGCAATTATATGGAGCTGGACATGGAAGCTATGCGTGCTGAATACCTTCCTATTCTACACAATCTTCCCAGTTCTTGTCTTTTTCATCCCAGACTTTGCATCTCAACTCATCTTCCTCAATTACTGTGAGTCAAATCTCTTTCTAGTCAAGAGTGGTTATTCCTCAAAAGTGATGACAAAATGTTGTAATCTATTACTTCTTACACATACCGTACATAATAACATTTCAATGGTTTTAGTCTGAGTCTTGATAATAATAAGGTTGTGACACTTTTCTCACTTCCATATTTAAAAACATGATTAGGATGATCCAGTAAAAAAAAAAAAGGGTTTAACTTGAGTGAGAATAGGGTGTATTGCATAAGGGATTCTTAACTCACTGGATCTGTATTTAACTCTCATTCTTTGGTTAAGTAAGGTTTGACTTAAATGTACTGGTACATGTTTTACATGTGTAGTACCAAATCTCTGCCAGCATAAAAACAGGCTCTGATAATTACAGGAGCATCACATTAATGCCTTTTTCTGGATAGTACATTACAAGTATTATCAGTTGATTTGGTTTTATCATTTGACTTTGAGATAAGGTTTGCAATCTGATGATATAATAATTATATATCAGCATTTATGAGAATGAACCTTATGTAAGTAAAGCAGAATGTTTGTCCTAGTTGTGGAATATATGTTTGTATTTGGTGTCTTATCTGATAATAATATTTGATACAGCTTGGACAAATAAATTGATGAATTTCGAGCTAGATTTCTATGGCTAAGGTGTACAGTGAAATTGATTCTGTCATATTGAATGCACAAGAGAGTAGTGTTGTCATGTATGCCATGTTTTATTAACTGCATAATAGCATAGTAAGGCCTATTTTAAAGACATTTATAATATCAACACTAGTTCAGAACCTCAGGTCTGTGTATCTCTGCCATAAGTTCAAAGTTCAAACCAGACAATAGTTTTATATGTATCTCAGCTACATTTTGTGTACATGCACGTACATGTGTACATCTATGTATATTTCAAGATGTAAAAATTAGATCACTATCTTCATCAAATCATGCTGTTTTGATGGTGGTTAACATGGAGGGAACAGACATGAAATAGTTCATTTTTTAACCTTGTATTAATGGTTTCCCACAACTATATAAAAATAATCACGGTAGAGGTTTACGGTACACCATGTGTAAAGTCCTAAAAGGACTAAGGAAAGTGGATAGAAAATAGAAGTGAAAATAGAAAGGCGAGAAAGTGGAGGTTGGAAGGAAGAGTATCTTTCAGAAGTGAGTATAGTCCTGAAAAGGACTGTAAACCGGAAAGTTGTAGATAGGATGAGAGGTTTGGGTAGAAGACTGGATTGAGTTGGAGAGTTGAGTAGAGTTGCAGAGCAGGAGCAGGAGAGTAGAATCGACGTTTCGGACAGGTTGACTGTCCGTCTTCCGTCTTCCATTTATGTAATCCTAAAACAACAATGGCTATGAAATCTATAAGACATTCTGGTCCGGATATTTGGAACTCACTGTCCGTTGACATCCGTAACTTGAAGTCAGTATATACTTTCAAGAAAAGTGTGAAATCAATTTTATTGAGCAAATATTGACAAATCTCTTAAATTAACACATGATATCATATATGTTTGTCAGCATTTCCTTGATATAGCAGGAAAATCCCCCTCCCATGCACCCTCTATCCCATTTTTTTTTTTTTTGGTTGCAAGTCACTGTTTATTTTTTGTTATTTTCCCCCAATTATGTTCTGTAATTTACTTTACTTTACAATCGTTATGATTTTAAATGTTTCTGGGCTGCAAGCGTATCAAGCTGTCACGCTTAGGCTGTAGCCCTTCTGTATCATCACCTCTTCGAGCGTATGTATCTATGATTTACTGAATGTGGAAATGTAATTTAACTTATGTTTTATACTCATGTAAAGACATTGTCACATTATTGTTATAACCTATGATGATTCAGTAACCAATAAATATTTCAACTATTTCAACTATTATTCATACCACCATGCAAACCTTCAAACATCATCTATATAAAAATAATTGTATAGAGATTGATATCTCCTTCTTCTTTTTTTAACCTGCTCATGAACTCTTTAGTGAAGTGTCCTGTATTCCGAGAATACCAAGCTCCTGAGGTATATGGATTGAAAGGAGCAAGGAATGTCTACCTCCCTTCTACTAATGAAGTTCAGCTTGGAGTATGGTAAGGCTCTCATCTTACTATGAACCATCTATTTAAGAATACCCTTACTATTGACGTTGTGTTGTTTCATATATATATATGTAAAAGAACATATGATGCAAATATAAGAGTTGGTGATGATTATATATCATATTCTAAAGGTAATATACTTTTTAGGTTTTTGATTTGTTTTTTTCTTCATTGCAATATTTGTCCCTAAAGTTTTTCATCATGCATATATACATGGTCTGAGGCATCAGAGATCATGTAATTTACACTTAATTTTGACTTTGAGTATGCTACCCATAAGTTAAAAAGTAGATATCCAAAGAATGGTCAAAAAAGATTAATCATAACAACACATACATGTACATTCTCTCAAGATCTGTTCTCTTATAATTAAATTCTAAACATATGAATTATAATAAACCAAATAATGCACAAAATGTTTGTTAGCTAGCATATCTTTACCATGTAATTGTTAACAATGGAAGCAAGGGTTACAGTCAATGTACATTTTTTGGTTTTATTTTATTTTGTTTTTTGATTGTCTGTATTTTTTCTAGGCAAATGCTACCAAATTCTGCAAGAACAGCAAATGATGAAGAGGGTGAAATAACAGCAGAGTTCTTTGATAAAGCACTAGGTGACCATAGACCAGTGATCATGTACTGCCATGGAAACTCAGGTTCAAGGTAGGTACCAGTAACACATGTTAATGATGTTAATTGTATGGAGCAATAACAAATACATGGATTTGCATATACATGTACCAGGCTGCAATAAGTCATCCCTTTCATTTTAAAGGGGAAATTGGAAGCCTATTTTAAGATTGTTGTGCAATTTTGTTTAAAAGGAAAAAAACAAGCAAACAAAAACAACAACAAGTATGTTACATAATTGTACTTTCTCTCTCTCTCTCTCTCTCTCTCTCTCTCTCACTCTCTCTTTCTCTCTCTTTCTCTTTCTCTCTCTTGCTCTCTGGTTTTTAGCTATTTTTTTTTCTATGTTGTAAGAAATGTTTCAGTAGAGAAAATGAAATACGGTAGGAGATTTAAAGAAAAAGAATTAAGTGAATAGTATAATATCTGAATTTACTATAGATTGTCATTCTTCTTGTTATATTCTCACAGGGCGAATCCACACAGAGTAGAGTTGTACAAATTATTGACCAGAATTGGATTCCATGTAGTAGCTGTAGACTACAGAGGTATGTATAACATGATCAAATTATCTGTTCTACAAGATTATCATAAGATAAATCTATACATAACACAAGTTTCTATTTTTAATGTACATGGTGTTAATCAGTACACTTTGAATCATTAGTGTTTAGCTTCTGACTAATTGCAGGATTGCAGGATTGCAGGGAACAGCTATTGGCAAAATTCTATATTTTGGTTGAAAAATTAGTTCTCTATTCATAAATTCAGAGGAGGCATTTTGAACATACATTTTTTCTACTTGTATTTTTTTGTTCTCCAATTTTGGTAGAGAACGGCATAGTGTAAAGTCAATACAGCATTTTGTATCACATTAATCAAGGGATTCTAGTGTAGTGATGAGAAGAAAATCATTACATTATCAATTACATTTCTATAAAGTCATATAGAAAGTTAATAGAAAGATGATATGATATTTATGTCATTAAGTTTACAGGTGAAAAAAGGGTACCGTTGTCATAATTATGATTTGATGTTCACTTGAATTTTTGATTTACATTATGTATGATCACAAATGACCGGATGGGAATAAAAGGCTTAGTACTTGTATTACAGACAAAGTTTAAGACCACTTGTTATTTATTTAATACAAGCAAAGGTATATTGTGTGACAAAGTCATACTCTCATAATTGAATCCTCGTGAGTTCTCACAGTCTTTCAATAATTAGATAGATGTAACAGAATAGCATTGAAACATGTTATTAACAAAAATTCACAAACATCAGTCTTGTTAACTTGTGATGACATGTGACCAACAATATTATTTTGTATTTTTTGTAGGATATGGTGACTCGTCAAGTCATACTACCCCAGATGGTATTCATGATGATGTACAAACCGTCTATACATGGCTGAGGAAAAGGACAGGGGATTCTCCGTTCTATATATGGGGGCATTCCCTTGGAACAGGGTAAGTTTTCAGAAATTCATTCTTTACAACCCCAGATTGTATTCATGATGATGTACAAGCCGTCTATACATGGCTGAGGAAAAGGACAGGGGATTCCCCATTCTATATATGGGGGCATTCCCTTGGAACAGGGTAAGTTTTCAGAAATTCATTCTTTACCCTATCAATTCCATGAATTTTGAAGTTGGATATCAAGAAAGTATCAATCCTGTACACATATTTTATTCATATATCCATGTACATTGATTTAAAATCCCAACGGTTCCCAACTGTTTGTTAATTTTGTCTTAATGTGAATATCCTTTAAACTTTCATTAACATACCGGTATTTTGTTTTGTGAAGATTTAAAATGTGGTGTTGGTAAATATCTGTAATGATTGTTCCCTGTTTCAGCATAACATTACTGGTAAATTCTTTGACAAAAATGATATGTTCAGTGGAAACTCCCTATTCAGTGGTCATTGCAAGGAGACCAGTTAGTTTGTTGAATCAAGTACTATTTTCATATAGCAGGAAGATAATAAATGTTTATTTTATCATCATTGTAATATCTGTAGAACTAAAATTACATACTTTATGTTTTAATTTAAGTTCTGAGTGTGGAGAAAAAATTCTTTTTAACTTCCCTTTTGGTGATATTTTTACTAACTTTTTTCTGAATCACATTATTACTTCTCTGTGTGAATGCATTTGATCATTATTAGTAGACATTTTAGCTTGTTAATATTCATTGTGTGCTGCTTATGTATACTTATATGAATTTTACATCTAAACTTTTGATTTTGTTTTTCCTTTCAGGATTTCCACAGTGTTCACTTCAAAAATATGCAGAGAAGGTGAGTCGTAGCAGCAGTTATAGGTAGTTTTTATCCCAAGATATTAGTAATATTTATTAAGAGAGAAATTGAAAATGGAATATTTGATTCCAGTAACCTTCTAGATATGCACATCTGTTTATTCAGGTAGTCAATAACATATATATTGATTTGAAAACATTGTATTGTTTCTGTTAAAATAAGAGGCAAATTAAACATCAATTTAGAAGCTTTTATGGTTCTAGTATCTATGAAAATAGTAATACAAATGTGTGTGATTTATATAATCTGTCTGAAGGAAAAAGTTTGCAGACCCATGCCATTTGTATTCGAAACATATTTTTAAAGTTTTTTTGTATTATTACTAAATCATGACATCACAATACACACACAGTCAGCTGAACAGTATCACATCTGATAATCCTGTTCTCAACAGTAGGTGTGTGATGTGATCATTGTTGTTATGTATTCTATCTCTCAGATGGATGTCCTACAGGTCTAATCTTAGAAGCACCGTTCAACAATCTTCTGGATGAGGTCATGAGGCATCCATTTGGATGGGTAAAACTTTTCTACTAAATTCTTTTTCTGATTCATTTTATTCTTTCAAACATGATTAGGATTTGTAAATTGTAAAGATAATTATGGTATAAATAACACAAAGTAGAAAAGGCAAACAGTACAAAAAATGGGATAGATAATTTACTCTGTACAATAATACAGTAAATGTAACAAAACACAAATATAAACTAAACCGTTTCTTAAATAGCTATTTGTAGATAATGGTTATAGTCAAGTCATTATGCAGTATTTTCTGAGTGTTTGTATAGATATGTTTTGAAATACATTTATAACTTATAATAATAATCTGTCTTGTTTACCCAGGGTAGCCTCATCAGTATTCATACTGTTACTGCAATCCTATTATTACCCCAATCATCGGATTCAGGCTTACCCGTACACAATGTATGCACATTCTCCACTCTCTGGGGAGCATTCCAGCCAGGCGTCGTTTTTACGAGCGCACACTTGCTAATCTAAGCACTTAGTTACATGCAAATACAAAAGTTAACCATACATTATCATACAAGTGCCAAGTGGTGATTGTTTAACATCAAGACTAAGAGACACTCCACATGTGAATAAAGTGCATGAAAGTAACTGCATAACATATGCATATCTGCAGCCTGTAGACCTCTGTGTACAAGTATGTATAGAAGAGTATTACGTGGTATAATTTGGTCTCTCTCTCTCTCTTTGATTACAGGCCTGGAACATTCTGCCATACAGTAGGGGTTACTTTGATCAAGCTTTTAACTCTACAGCTCAATACTTTCAGAGTGATATCAGGTAAGTCTTCCTTTTATAAAATGCTAAGAAATGGACGCAGAAATAATCATAACAATGGTGATAATGATGATGATAATTACTGATATACATGGAGCACATAGTACTCACAAATGTCCCTGTATGCTTAATATAGTATTACAGTGAAAACTCGTTATAAGGAGCCCTGATATAACGCTGTACCTGATAATAAGGTAATTTCCTGGTCCCAGCTCTATAATTTTACCCTGATTTAACAAGATACCGGATATAAAAAGCTAATTTTGTTGGTCCCAGTTCTTTATATTCTTTTGTTTGTTTGTTTATTTTGTACCCTGCAAAACAAGATACCTGATACAACAAGGATAATATTGCTGGTTCCCGCTCGTTATAGTGTTTAAACCCTGTCATTTTCATGGTCTCAACATTCTCATTCTAATGAGTTTCCACTGTACAGGATGTCAATATGCTATTCACTCTACAAAATACTTTACATTTCTTTATATACCTCATTTATTTTTTAACAGATCAACAACGAAGCTAGAAAATGTAGAAAATGTATATTAGTGAAAGTACTAGTTGTATATCATTGTGGTTTCCATGTAAATGTGTGGGAATTTCTTGTATTTTGCACACAGCATAGAGCATGTAACATGTCCTATTCTCATTCTGCACGCTGAAGATGACTGGGTAGTACCACATGACCTCGGAAAGAAGGTAAACTTATCACATCTTATCATTTAAACCTCTAGTTGTGAGGGCTTTGTGTAGATTTTTAGATGTAGCATTAGCTATCGTATTTAAGAAACTAAAGAAGCTTTTCATTTGTTTCTGCAAACCATTTATGCCATTACTTTCATCAAGACATTGAGATTTGATACATATATTTTCTGTCACCAAAATTATTAAAAAACATTTATAGTTTCTATTTTGCATTCCTGGGTATGGATAGTGTAATATTGATTGATAGATATTGCACTCATCAATCAATACTGGTATATAATATTTACATTTATAACAAATAATTATGAAATGAAAGAATGAATTCAACTAATACTTTTCAATTTTAAAAATTGACGAAATGTATTGCAAATATAACTTAAGAATGTGGAAAAGAAACAGAAGTTTGTGCGATTGTGTGCCATGCCTGTCAATGCCATAATCTAGCATTACTTTTCCTATGTCATTGTGTTTGGGAGATGGACATTGTTCATGTCGTGCACTTGATGAACCAAAATGTGACAATAACTAGAGGCCAAAATGAAATAATTATATCTACATATTTATGTGTTATTGTCCTCAGTTATATGACATAGCTTTGGAGAAAAGACCAGCCTCAGCGGGCCCAATCAAAATGATTTCATTTGGTAGTGAAGAGGGTTGTGGACATAAGAATATTGCTTTCTCAACAAAGTTACCATCTGTTTTAGGGTAAGTATATCCATAGAGAACATTGCTTACTCACCAAAGTTAACGCCTATTTTAAGGTAAGTTTATCCTTAAAGAATATTGCTTACTCACCAAAGTTACCTTCTATTTCAAGTTAAGTTTATCCCTAGAGAATAATGCTTACTCACCAAAGTTAACACCCTTTTAAGGTAAGTTTATCATTAGAGAATATTGCATACTCACCAAAGTTACCAGTTATCTTAAGGTAAGTTTATCCTTAGATAATATTGCTAACTCACCAAAGTCACCACCTATTCTAAGGTAAGTTTATCCTTAGAAAATATTGTTTACTTACTTAAGTTACCACCTATTATAAGTTAAGTTTATCCTTAGATAATATTGCTAACTCACCAAAGTTACCTTCTATTTATTTTAAGGTAAGTTACCTTAGAGAAAGATGACATTTAAACTTATACAAAGCCCATTATGTCTCTTACTTTACCGCTAAAGTTCAAGTTTACATTCGTAACACGCTCACTTTTTTTTTTTACGTTGACAATTTTACTGATTGCAAATAACTGAATTTAGTCATTTTTTAAAGTATAGTTTTATTATTATAAATGAAATAAATGTCTCTATACTTCTACTCAAATTTTCATTCCTTCTTGAAATTGGCTCAATTGAAATTCAGCTAATTCTCATTTAAAATGCTGCCTTTGGGTTTACTAGTCACAGAAGTACAATGTAGATCTGTCTACTCCTCCCTCACACAAATACACACATCTCTCTTTACATGATAAGATTGTGGGATTTTGTTAGATTATTAAATTAGATGTTATTCACACTAGTGAACCCAAAGGCATCATTTTAAATGAGAAGTAGGCTATGTTTTAGGAACTTATTAAATTGAATTACCTGTATTTTCCTTTTTTTTTCAGTGATTTCGTCAAGTGAGGAACCAAAAGTTTTGGAGAATACCTGATTGCTTTGAGGGCGAATACTTGATATGCTTGTGTGCAACTATCTCATGTGTTTCTAAACTCATTGTGGTGCTTCGTACAGATATTATTTTACATCACATTTTGTTTCAAGGTATAGATTTTAGTTTTCAGCCAGGAATTTAGAGCTCTAAGTAGCTCCTATTAGCTTTCACCTCAAATAACCTCATGAAAACAGGGTTTATTTAATTTATCATTGTCCTTGTATTGTGTATCTCATTCTTGATGATGTATTCAAAATTATGTCTGACAAAAGGACATATTACCATAATGATTAGTGGCCATATTTGGGGGGAAAGAAAGCAACTAAATATGACTGATTTGGGAAACTTTTGAATAACATCTGATAACATCGGATTTAATAATTTAATACAAGTCATTATTTTCTATGATGATGATGACATTAGTTGTGTGAAGTTCATTGTCTTTTACCATTCATCTTTAACCTTATACTGATGGCTTGGATCATCCATTTATACACTGTCATGTTTCTGGAAACAAGGTAAAAATTTGCAACCAATCTCAAATTTTTATAAATGTAATGCTTCCTGGGAGAAATTTCAATTATTAAATATATTTGTGGCTTCCACCCAGTAAATAAGATTGATTGATCGATCTGTATCAATAAGGTCGATTGATCGACCTGTATTGAAAAACACAAGTCAGAAAAAATCTTGGAACCAGCGGGATTTGAACCTGCCATCTACTGCTTGCCGGGCAGCGACTCTAATCAGGAGAGCTTAGGTATTTGTTTCTAGTTCATCGTGACTGTGCCATGGACCAGTGATGGCCTGGTGGTAGAGTCGCTGCCCGGCAAGCAGTAGATGGCAGGTTCAAATCCCGCTGGTTCCAAGATTTTTTCTGACTTGTGTTTTTCAATACAGGTCGATCAATCGACCTTATTGATACAGATCGATCAATCGATCTTATTTACTGGGTGGAAGCCACAAATATATTTAACAATCTCAAATTATAGCCATCTATTTACACTGAAGTGCACATGTCTACTATGTTAAGCCATCATTGTTGCAAGCACTGAAATGGTGGGAGAGTATACATATAATACACAGCAGTGAGGACATTAGTAAGAATTACCCACACGGTACCGAGTGTGGGTAATTTTACTAATGCCCGATTAAAATGTTGTGAATTATTTGTTTTATAAGATGATGTTTTACTTTAGCTACACCTATGCATAAAGGTCTGTATGCTTCCTTTAAAATGTACCAGTATTTAAGTTGTCGGACCTCATTAGTATTCTGCTCACGTTACCCTTGATGACATGCTATTTTTCGTGCCATTGAACAGCTCACTATAACGAGATTATTCAAAAAGGTGTTTGAAAGTTTGATTGTCCTGTAATATATATTTTGTTTCAAGTAATACATCGTAGATTGCTGTTAAGCAAAGACAACAAAAATTATGATATTAGAAGTGTAATCAAAAGTGAAAGATGGTGGGTGAATTGGTCTTTGGGTTCATTAAAAAAATTATATTGTATGTTGATAGCAAGAAGGAAATAAACTCATACTTCTTGTGGCTCTATGCAGAATATATTCACTCGCAATGCTAGGAATTAGACCACATAACCTAATTATATAGGTTTACTGAAATATATGTTTTACGTAAATGCTGCCGTTCTTCTAAATTCAAACCAATAGTTGTTTCAAAACTGGTTTTAAGCCATCGCCATACTCCTTTAGGGCCTATTTAAGTTTCTAACAAAAAATACATCAATGGGAGTAAAACATCTGTATTTTGAAGAGATCACATATTTAGTGTTGATTTTAGTAGGGTTCATCTATGTAATATTTGAGCACAGAGTATTTAAAGAGGGAAAATTGGGCAGCAGGATAGCGTGAGTTATATTGTCCTGTAGCTTTTGAGGCTAATTGAAGAAAACCAATTTGTCACTTTGGTCTCGGACAAACTTGATTTACCAAGAAAGAAAGAAATTGTTTACCTAATTTATGACCTAGATCAACAAAAGGATATTTCTAGATCATGTAATAGTGAAATTGATGATGTAAAGATGTCATCTTACTAAAGGTAGTGAGCGCTGTCCTTATGAATCTCAACATACAATGTATATGATGGATTTACTTTACGTCAAACTATTTCAGAATATATATATACCTCATGTTATGACTATAGTTTTAAAAAGTAAGGTAATCATGGATATGATATATTTGGTGCAAGAAATCATTCAGGTGATAAATACTTTATATCATTTTATTTAACCTTACAAACGTCAACATGTGTGCTTTTTAGATATAGAGTTGGTTTCTGTGCAATAGTGCATTTAAAATGTAGAAGCAGCTTATTGTAGTATATAGCTTGTTATCGTACCCATATTCATAACTCTCTTAAACTGACAGTTGTTGGCTGTTATTTGGATACTTCTGTCATTTTTTTTAATTGCACCTGTACATGTAATTGTATACTGGTTTATGAATACCTAGATATATCTGATATACCTTGACACCATATGCTCATGCATTGCAACCAGGATCACTATCGGAAAGGAATTCTGAAAAGAACTATCTTGAATCTATGACTTATAACCAGGAAAAATTATTTCTGTGATCTTACTTTGAAATTGTGATTGCGATTGTGATATTATTAATTTAAAAATATACATGAAATTTGATTGAAACTGTTTGAAGTGATTCAGTGTTGCAATATGATATTTTGAGATGTGTACCGTATATTGAATATGAAATATAATTATCTAAATATTTTAAAACCTTTATCCTGTATGGCCTTGTAACCTTGATGCACACTGTGTGTATGCATAGTTTGATGTGATACCGAAGTTGTGGCAATAAACAGCGTGACACAAATTCATTGTCCAAGAAATGTCAATATTTGTCTGCTCCATCGGTAGCTATCAGAACCATATCAGTGCCTTATATATATAGAGAGAGAGAGAGAGAGAGAGAGAGAGAGAGAGAGAGAGAGAGACCATATCAGAGCCAGTGAATAGATGGCTCTGCACCATTATGTTGTCATAGCGCCATCTGTCGTTACACTGTAATAATGCGTTATGGGAACGTACACCAGGCCAAAAAATGGAAGAGTACCGTAGAAGCATTAGCAACAATATATCTTAAAAAAATCGAGTGATCACGGACGTCACTCCTCTGGAGAGTGAAAATGTAGTGAAAATAGAGTGAACATTCACTCTTTTCTTCTTAGAGAGCACTCTAAAATCAATCGATTTTCACTCCTAAACAAGTGATCACGGACGTCACTCCCAAAAAAGTGAAAATAGAGTGAAAATTCACTCTTTTTTTTTAAGAGAGTATCTCTGTCGCAAACTTCATTGCCACGATTTCATATACCTCTATTTTCTTTATGCACGTCTTCAACTCTCCAAAGTGAGAGAAGGATGAGGGAGAAAAAATACATCACTGCCTTCATCATGAACACAATCTGAACGCCTTTTGTTTAAAAAAAATGAATTAAAAGTGTATCAATTTCATATCTCTTAATCAGTTACATTGGGTTTAAAACTTTCATTTGATAGCATTCACATTATGTTTAAAACAATCCTTGGAAAAGTAGGGTTTGGGTGGCTAATCGTGAAAGAAATGGATAACAATTGTTACTAATTAAATGATATTTATCTGAGAGTGCATTGACCTCATGACGCTTTAGAGACAACATGTTTTTATTTGAATTCCGGAATGATCGTTAAAATGGTCATGCCACATAAATGCGGTAATTACACCTTTGTGTGATAGGGGGTGAACAACGATGACCTTCAATACACGCATGAGTTAAAGAATATGTGTATAGCGGCATGAGAATGTTTCTTCTCATTGATCACTGACGGATAATAAAGTCAATATTTTTCTCACGTAAACAGGCCAGGGAAGATGTGAGTTCATCTATGGACTAGCTACTATACTTTGACCGTAACGCGCTCGTACTCCAAATATTCAAGGGCAAATTAATCCATTTCTCTCAATCTTTAATTTTACCCTTCTCTTGAAGCATGGGTTATACATAAACAAGATTGCTTTCTCCTTTTAACACAATGAGAATTGCAAACTGGCTTGTACGAAAGTCTTATTTTGCTTGAATCGAGATGTACTTCAACTGTTAAGTATTGGCGTAGCTACAAGGGTTACCCCCATTGAATGCGAAATATCTAGTATAGCCTAAATAAAGAGCAACAATGAGGAAAGAAGCTAGAAATGGTAGGAAACTTGAAAGTAAGATTATACGACCATCCCTCGATCCCCCTACCATATTCCGGAACCCCTAAATGACGACAGCGCCCCTCAGTGACCATAGACCCATGCTATACGCCACTGGTAGCATGTTTGTGTTGATATTAATGTACCAAAAGTTTCATTAAAGAAGGTGAGGGATTATTTATGAAAAAGTGACCCATAAGAGCGGCACACCCCTATGTGAGAACCCCCCCCCCCCCCAAACCGGTGAACGTTCAACCAGGGCATGTGAGTTAAATGTTAACAATAATTATGCCCAAAACTATTCCGTCGTTTAGTTTCGTCTTATGGCTATACATAATGGTAAATTCTTTCGGGACTTTGGTTAAATCCGTGTAATTTACTTTAAAAGTGAAAATAACGTTGCCTCGTGTCTTGAGATGTGCTTGTCATGTGTGCTTTAACATCACTTTCAACTTGATCTATTCCGGTGTGTTTACTCGCTGTTGCCACGGGTTGTTTCTTTTTTTAAATGACAACACGACCACGGTGTCCCATAACAACAATCATCAGACTTATCAAGAAACTCATGGACCACATCTAATTATTGTTCATACAATTAGGAATGGAATTCGAAGGGGGGAAAGACCAACAAGAACTTCTTGTTATTACCTTTCGTCTTTAGCATGGTCGTAAACGAATTAAACCCTCGAGTTACTTCTAAATCCTCACTTTTTCGTACGAAGAGCAAGAAGGGGTCTTGTTTATAGTTGCACCACCTTAAAGCGTAAATAGGAACTGCTCTTCTTGTCCCTATTGTTGAAAAGCTAATTTAACGCCGTTTGTTCTTTCCGACCCTTCACATTGGCTTATACGATCTAGGGGTGTGTATAGGTCGATTCATGAGGGCATTTTCAAGGGCTTGTTGTTGAAGTGGGCTCATAATGCTCTGGTGGATTGGTATAATATCATTTGAATAAGGGATTAGTGGTTGTCAAAAAGGCTAATGTCAAGTCAGAGCCTTCTGAAAAAAGATACCTGGTCGAGGAAAATCATCAGATACAATGTTGCACAAACGACTTCTGTCATGAATATAGCATTATCCGTATACGTTTATACATCTACGGTAAAGATAGCATTATTTTAACACGTTTCAATCTGCTTTTAGTTTTGCTGTTCTCTAATAAAACTTTCCCTGTTAATTAGTAAGTTGCTTGTATTTTGTCTGTTTTCATGGTACCCTTCCAGGCCAAGTTCTCACCCTCCACACTCCATTGATATCATTGATCCACCAAGGGATAAGGGGATGCTAATAGTGCTCGACACTATTCACGCTTCAATT